CAGGTGTGTGATGTGGGATTCGAAGTCCGGGCTGTATATCAGAATATCGTCAAAAAACACCAATACAAACCTGCGCAAAACCGGCTTAAAGATGTTGTTCATTAGTGCCTGAAATGTAGAAGGTGCGTTGGTCAAACCGAATGGCATAACCAGAAACTCGTAGTGACCTTCATGTGTCCGAAACGAAGTTTTGGGAATATCTGCATCTTTAATTCTGATTTGGTGGTATCCTGACCAGAGATCCAGCTTAGAAAAAATGGTTGCCCCTGCCAATTCGTCTAGCAACTCCTCGATGGTGGGAATCGGAAACTTGTCGAGAATTGTTATTTCGTTGAGGGCCCGATAGTCAACGCAAAACCTCCAACTACCATCCTTTTTCTTGACTAATAACATTGGGCTAGCAAATGGACTGGTACTAGGCTGGATAATATTGGCTGTCAACATCTCTTCCACCAGTTTTTCAATTTCATTCTTTTGGAAATATGAATACCTATAGGGTCTGATGTTAGGGGTTGGAACACCTTCTTTGAGGGGAATGGTATGGTCGTGGGTGCGATGTGGAGGGAGTTTGGTTGGTTGGTCGAAAAGGTGCCGGTATTGATCCAAAATTGCCCGAACATCAGGACTGACCTCCTCAACCTCCCCCTTGGGCAGTAATTCCTTCTCAATAGAAAAACACTCCATCAGGAATCCTTCCCCGGCGTTGTTAATGGACCGCAACATGGATTTCAGGGAGACCTTTGACTTCACCAAAGATGGATCCCCTTGTAAACTAACTCTGTTTCCATCAACTTCGAACCTCATGGTTAATTTCTTCCAGTTGACGCACACATCCCCTAAGGAACTTAGCCATGTCACCCCCAAAACAATGTCAGCTCCTCCCAACTCAAAAGGGAAAAAATCCTGTCTAATCTGAGTCCCCTATACATCCAGAGAAACTTGCTGACACACCCCTTCTCCCTTCACTGTGACTCCATTTCCCACCATTACCCCAAAGAGCTTACCCTTTTCCACCACAATACCCAGCCTTTCGATTAACTCTTGCGAAATAAAATTATGTGACGCCCCACTGTCAACCAGCACAACCACATCGGCTTTCCCAATATGCCCCTTTACCTTCAGGGTTTTGTCGGACGTAATACCCACAATGGAATTTAAGGAAAGAGCCAAGTCAGTACCTTCTGGGTTAGGGATTTCGTCATTTCCCGGTGGAAGTTCACTCTCCTCGGCTGCATCGTCCTCCCAGGCTAACAAAATCTGTAAGGATTTACTTCGGCAGCGATGATTAGGCCCGAACTTCTCGTCACATCGGAAGCAGAGCCCCCTCTCCCGTTTAAATTGAATTTCTACTTCAGATAATCGCCGGAGGTTCCCTCTGAACCTCCTTGGAAACCCGTAACTCCATTCTCCGGCGCTCTCTCTCTCCTATCGGGTGCACGCGATGACGCGTTTTGGCTGGATTCTGATAGTTTTGATGAGTTGGGCCACCACGTGGGTCGGGTTGGGGCTATTGGGTACTCTTGCTGGGTTGGACCACCACGCGGGTCGGGTCAGATCTGGGCTGTTGGACACTCGGGTATAACTCTCTTTGGCTCCCTGGGTTTTGAAAGGCTTGGGCCAGCATCTATCCATGACCCAGTTTTTTTCCTCCACACGATGGGCCTGCTCAATCAGATCCTCAAGGGACTTGGGTCTTAACAATCTCAGTTCAGCTCTAATTTCTTCCTTGAGCCCGTTAACAAAAGCACCCATCAACAATTCTTCCCCCAAATCCTTCAACGGTGCCATATGGGATTCGAAATCTTCTCTGTACTCAGTCATGGTGGAGTTTTGCTTCAACGCCACCAACGCTTCATGTGCAGATTCTTGGAACGACGGCCGGAATCTTGCGATTACGGTTGCCTCAAGCTCTTCCCACGATTTGAAAGGCTCTCGGCCCTCCATCCATTGGTACCAGTTCAATGCTCGACCTTCCATACAAACTGCCGCGGCCTCCACCATCTCCGATGACCCATATCTGTTAATTGCAAAATAACGATCTGCTCGAAATGTCCATCCAAAGGGGTCTTCTCCATTGAAAATTGGGAGCTCAAGTTTCCGGCCCTTCTTCTCCTCCTTCTCACTTTTCCCGTCTGTTTCTTGGCCTTGTTCCCTATCGTAACCACTGTCTTGATCCCCTGAGGTTGACTGGGACTTCCCTTTCTTGCGGTCACGTCTTTCATCCCTCTCATCTCTCATTCTCATTAATTCTCTCATCTCGGTTAGGAACTCCTTGAGACTGCCAATGTCAGTCTTGACTGAACTCATGTCCTCCACTACCGACTTCATTTCTTTTTCCATACTCTCCATCCTGTTTTCCATTTTTGACTTGACCATTCCCCAGCGTGGGCCTGTTAGTTATCTGGCTTTGATACCAAGCTGATGGAACTCTGATGGAACTTCCCTGCACAACATACAATCACAACAACACACACAATACAACGACCAAAAGAGTGCACAATCAAAGTAAACAGCAGCTGGTGCTAAGTAGTATTTGATTGAAACAAGAAACAATGGATAGTTTCCCAGCAGTGCGAGGAGCTGGGGGACCTCCCAAATAGCCTATGGAAATATCTCAATGCCTTCCCTCATTCCCCTAGCTTCTTTATATACTGATTTAATTCTTATTCTGTAACCAATTGCCAGCTGCGTGTCCACCTCATAACAATAATCTCTCTCTGTTCTAACAAACTCACACCCATTGCACACCCCGTCATTCTCCTAACCAACTCACACACTCTCCTAACAACTCACACCTCATCACCCTAATTTCTATTCCTCTTCCTGCCCTTGGCTTTGTAGACCTTGTGTACAGGTGGTCTAACAGACCCCAACAGTCGTCCTCACTACCAGCTTCGCAAAGGCCGCCTCATGTTCAAAAACAGGTTGGTCCTCCCTAAGAACTCTACCTTCATTCCAAAGTTGCTGGAAGAATTTCACTGCAGCCCGAGTGGGGGCCATTCTGCGTTTTTTAGGACTTATAAACGAATTGCTGCTCTTGTGTATTGGGAGGGTATACGTAGGGATGTAATTAAATTTGTCCAGACCTGTGCCATCTGCCAAGTTAACAAACACTCTTCATTCAAGCCTGCTGGTTTGTTACAGCCTCTTCCCATACCCACCCAAGTGTTTGAGGACCTTTCGATGGATTTCATAGGGGGTCTGTCGAAAGCCAAAGGGGTTGACACTATTTTCATCGTCGTCGATCGGCTTACAAAATACTCCCACTTCCTCCTCTTAACCCATCCTTATACAGCCAAGGATGTAGCTAATGTGTTTATATCGGAGGTGGTAAAACTCCATGGCTTTCCATTATCTATTGTTTCAGATCGTGACAGGGTCTTCATGAGCCAATTTTGGCAAGAGTTGTTTAAAGCTGCAGGTACATCTCTTAAATTCAGCTCCGCCTACCACCCCCAAACTGTTGGTCAAACGGAGGTAGTTAATAGGTGCTTGGAAGCCTACCTCCGCTGTTTTTGTAGCTCCCAACCCCGACAGTGGCCCAAATGGTTAGCGTGGGCTGAGTTTTGGTACAACACGACGTACCACAGCTCCACCAAAATGACACCTTTCAAGGCTCTTTATGGTAGGGACCCTCCCATTCTGTTTAAGCCCACAGACTGCCCCTCCCTGATTGAAGATGTCAACCGTCAGATTAAGGACCGAAATGCCATATTAGAGGACCTCAAGCACAATTTGCTGTGGCCCAAGGTCAAATGAAGCAATCGGCTGACGCCCATCGCTGAGATGTTGTTTTTCAACCAGGGGATTTCGCCTATTTAAAGCTCCAGCCCTATCGATTTCGATCCTTGGCTCGGAAGCTTAATGAGAAGCTAAGCCCTCACTTCTATGGCCCCTTTAAGTGTTAGACAGGATCGGGCCTGTAGCTTATCGGTTGGACCTCCCTCCTACGTCTCGAATCCACCCGGTGTTTCATGTTTCCCAACTTAAGCCAAGCCTCCATTCTTCAGTTCCGGTTCAGCAGCTTCCTTGACTTGGAATTACAGGTCAGCCCTGAAGCAGTTCTGTCCACCCGCCAGCTACTGGATGGCTCCCTGGAAGTTCTGATTAAATGGCAGGACCTCCCAACATTTGAAGCTTCTTGGGAGGCTTATGACACGATCCTACTGCAGTTTCCGGATTTTCACCTTGCGGACAAGGTGGATCTGGATCTTGAAAGAGGGGGGGGGGGGATGGGGATTGATAAGACTCCTATAACCAAAGTATACAAAAAGAAGAAAAAGGGCAGCCTGGGAAATACACTGGACAGGGGCAGCAAAGGAAATGCAGTTTTAAATCAGTTAGGAAGAATCTCCACGTAAGGGAAGTGCGGAAAGTGTGAATTCAGCATTATTTAAGAGAGAACATTTTGTGAGCTAAGGAGGATGAAATCTGGAATCAGGGGAGGCTGCTAGACCCTCGAAGTGCTAGCCAACTTTTCTTTTTATCTGTCATTTATTTTGCTGTTGCAGTGTTTATCAATTCCAAATCCATATATGAATATACCAGTTGTTTTTAGGACAGAGCAGAGTTGTTTTACTGAATTTCATTAACAATATTTGGTTGAGTTTGTGTGATATTCTGTTGATTCCATCACATTGCAACTAAAAAAAGTTATTGTACCTTTTCCACTAATTTGTGCAAACTTCATTACTTTTATACATGATCCCATATTATTGGGATGAGCACAGATTCAACTGCTGTTTTTGCTAGTTTCTTTGCTGGAAATGATGGAAGATATTAGCCATTTAGAAGATTGATTTTTAATCATATTAATCCATGTTCTTCATCTTTAGACTTCGGTGAATATAGTCACAGAACTTGAATTAGAAAATGTTATCTTGGTGTATGTTTTATGTCATTTTGATTTTATCTTTATCAATGTAATTTGGCTAGTTTATCACATTCTCTTTTTGAAGAACAACTATAATTTTAAATCCTGAAATTCATTTTGTGGTCAGTTCCCAAGTAGAAGTGCTCGCCGTAAAAAGGCCAAGAGACGTTGGTTGAGGGAACAAGCCAAAAGTGAAAAGATAGAGGTACTTGGTGTTTGTAGGATAATGCTTTTTATCTGTTAAGTGCAATCTCTATGTTTGACGCACATGCACACACTCTCAAAAAAAGAGAGGTAAAATCAGATAAAAATCAGATAATCTGATTGTATCAATATTTTTCAGCAGCATCAGAAGCAACTACCCACGAAAGGTAGTCAGCAACCGCCTGATAAAGATGATAAAAAACTCTCTGATGAATATCAACAACCAGATCCAAAATCACCAAAATCATGTGGCCAAGATAATAAAAACTTATCTGAAGAACATCAACAACCAGGTCCTAATAGTGATGCAGATGAGGATGTTGTTCCTGTAGTTATAAGGCCAGGACATATTCGTTTTACTCCCCTAAGAAAAGGTCTCGTGTTTTCTTTCTTTTTCTCTCTCAGTCTTTGTCTGCATGCATTGTGGAGGTGGGGGTAAGAGATGAGATGGAGACATTAATTGATTCTGGCATTTGAGTTTAGTTGCTGATATCAAAGTTTCGTATTCTGAATGTCACTGTTAACATCTATTGTTTGATCTCATTCAGTGGATGCCGTTCAAGCTATCCAGCAAAATCAAACTCCAGTGGTATGTTTTCATTGTCATTTTTGTTGATGCTCTGTGATCAGATTTGTTTTATGACTTTTTGGTTTACCTCTGTTATCCACTTCTTATGATTTATTGGTGCTATAGTCTAATTTGGTCCAATATTTTATTAATGATAGACTGATATCATGCTTCAGGAAACTTTTCAATGGAAAGGAGTAACCAGCAAGAAGAAGGGTCAAAAATGGGGCAAAGAGAAAGCTGCTTCTTCAAAGTGGAATAATTATGAAATTTTTAATCAGGATTATTCTGAAACTCTGACTACTGGGGAAGAGATCTCTGTAAATGATTCCAAGGACTTGGATTTCAATAAGCTTAAACCTTATACTAGCTTGCCCAAGGTGTGTTTCTTTCCTATTTTCATTATTACTGCTTGGGTAGATCTTTCTTTCTTTTTGAGAGGAGGAGAAAAGAAAGGATGTTAGACAGTGAACTTGATATTTTCAAGCTATTTAGCAGCTTACCTCTCATACTACCACTAGAACTGCCTGTGTATATTTTGGATTTTCTTACTCTGCGTAATATGTTCTCATGCCACATTCATAATTTTTCTTTCCATTTGTATTCCTAAGAGGTTGAAGCATTAATACATTCCCAACATACTGCAGGAAGGTGATGTAATTGCATATCGCTTGATTGAGCTATCATCATCTTGGAGCCCTGAGCCTACCTCCTTTCGGGTACAGCTCTTTTTTGTTTTATTTAGTCTATAACTCCCAATTTGTTGACATATAACCATGTTCTTCTGCCTGTAGGTGGGGAACATATCATGGTATAACCTTGAATCCAATAAGGTTATGCTATTACCTGTCCCAGAATATCCACTCACTTTTGAGAAAAAGATAGATGAGGATGCATCTGCACTACAATCAGATACATCCCTTTATGAAGAAGATGGATCTTTACAAGTAATTAATCTATGCATTATTGATGCTTTTATTTCTTTGTTATTTTTCAATGTTCGGTGAAGCAGGTTTCAAGCTCACATGGGGGCTTGAACTCCATGCCCTTGATACATTTTCTATTCGACTTGATTACTAGTCACAGGAGTGAAAATCTTGTATGGATCATGAATTTATGATTACTATTCACATACATCTTCCAGAGCAGGCCCCAAAAGTTAGTTCTTTGTTTACCATGACGATGCGTGAATGCATAATGTAATCACAAAAGGCTAATGTTATGTTATTGTTATGCCTCAATGATCTATTTACTTGAATCATCCAATGACATAAACTGTTGTTGGAAGAGATGATAAATATATTCATGTACATCTCTAATTTAATGATACATAGCCTGAAACATGAATGTTGCACTTAATTCTGTGAGATTGGTATTGTTTAGAGGTTGAACCTCATGGCTAATAATGGGTTTTAACTATTTTATTTTGTAACGGTGGCCTGCCCCTCAAAATACTGGCTATTTTGGGGCTATGCTCTCTGGTGTATGGTATAATTTTTAGGAAATTGTCAAAAAATAATGGTATTTGCCACCCAGGTTTTCTTTTTTTTTTTTTTTTTTTTTCTCTTTTGATGACCTTTTCTAATTTGCAAAGTGGAGGGTGAACTGTGCCTGTTGGTTATTTGGTGTATATTTTTCCTGATTACAAAAAGCTGATTAACAAGGCTCTTCTCCAGATAGATTATTCATTACTTGTTGATGTCCGCATCATCATGCATCGTGCAAAATCAGTCACTGGTGGAGTCAATGAAGTTCATATGGCAAGTGAAGATGCTGTAACAAATTTGAGGGACCACAATAACAATGAAAAAGTCCTTGCCCCTGTCCAAGGTTGGTTTGAAGCTACAAATTAGGCTATTTATGGGGTGCTAAGATCATGAAATTCGTGTGATTCACTTGAATGAGCAGAAATTACATTTGTTAATTTTATATTTGTAGAAAATGGAAAATTTCGTGTGGGAGACCAAGATGCAGTAAGAAGTTTGGGAGACAATAACAGTCAAAAAGCGCATGCCCCCATCCCAGGTTAGTTTGCTAGATCACGAATACTTATCATTAACTTAAATGAACTTTCATTATATGATTTTTATCTTTGTAGGAAATGGAAAATTGAATGCATGGGAAGAAATTAACCAGGCTTTGTTTGCAAAGAAGGCAGAACTATCTCATGTTGATGATCAGTGTATAAAGGAGGGCTCAGGGAGCAGTCGATGGTCGTACAAGGCCCTGAGGAGCAGTGCACTGGGTCCAACCATGGCTTTTCTTCGAGCACAAAGTGGAATATAAATGTCCTTAATCTGGTGTTTGGAAATAGATGATGATGCCCTATGAACACTATATGGTTTGTGAAGATACGAAATTGAGATGATACAATTTTTTTTTTTTAGTTTATGCTGGGAAAGTCATCTGAGCCAGTGAAGGCTTTGTACAGAACGAGGTCTTCTTAATTTTGTTGGAACATTTGTTAATCAAAACAAGTGCTGTAAGAAGGCCTTTTTTTTCTTCTCCAATTTTCTTATGTTGAAGTTGAACATGTATTAGCACAAGAAATCCACTATCAAGAATATGGAACTCGGAAAATTCAACATTCCACCATCTGACTAGCGAAGTTATGTTTTACTTTATGTGGGCCAGAAATGTTATTTTCACCTTTGAAATGTAGAAATGGCCGCGTTTCTCATTTACCTTTGCAAATATGAGTGTGAAACTAAACATTTGACTGGAATAAGTTCTCTCATTTAGAATGCATATTGCAGCCTGTATCTCTTATAAATTTATCATGGCCCAGAAAAAGAAAAGGAATTGATTTCTTCAATCTATGATATTAGTAAAACTTCATGCCCATCATATAAAATAGACTGTCACTGGTGAATGGTGATATAGCCTTTTTGAAAGGAGATTATGTGAAAAAAATCCTAGAGCATTATGATAATTGATGAATTACTGGGTATATATCTCCAAAAATTCGTCATAGGTATCTTTGAGATACATACTGAGATACATACTGACTTAAAGTTTGTTTTAAATATCAGGAAAATCCTTTTCAGCATTGCCTACCAGACATGCAAAATCAAAGGAAATATTCAGAAAAATCAATGCATAACAAATCTCACCTTATCTTGGAGAAAACGAATTTAATTCTCAAGCACCCCAGAGAGCAACACCTTCGGTGTTGGATTTGCCAGGACAAAGAAAGAAAACACGGGTAGTAAAATGATTTTATTCACTTATCCAGTGGATATTATTTACTTCTAGTTCCTATACAGTAAGCAGGCTTGTTTATGTACACAGCTTGTTGTAGTAATAGCTTGAATTCTGGATACATCACACAAGCAGATATGGTTCATTTCTACTGCCTGGGATGCCTAAATACTTTTACTAAGCTGTAATATCCTTTCTAACAGTTTACCAGGGTGCTAAGAAAGATCACAAACCAACTTCTGGGAGAATCAGGAACTTTCCAGACTATCTTACTAGTTGCCCTTTTGAAATGAGAAACAGTTGAGATGCTTAAGGAATTGCTCCGGCTCCTCGCCTTCTCTAACTATCTGCACATACCATGTAGAATTTTACACATTAATTTGGTCCATATATCATGTAAGAATGACTGTGATTACAAATAAACAAGTCAAGACTGCAAGCTTTAAAGATAGAGGGCATTAATCAAAACTTTTTTCCTGCTATACCACTTATGGTTCTTAAGCATAATGCTCAATAGCATTGCTTGTCTTCCCAGTGAAAAAATTACACCTCAAGTAGAGATGTTCCATTCCCTTTCCCACCATGAGTGGATAAGTGGGTAGGGGTGCTGAATTCGTTATGTTTATTTAATCAAATTACCAACAAGCATAGACCATGACTGCTCAATAACAAAGCGAACATGACTGAGACAATAACTTGGCCTATAAACTTGAATCTAAAGGCTATGAAAAATGCTAGGTGATTAAGTACATTAAAAACTAACAAGAAACTATTTTAGTATAACAAAGCAGCAATACCTTTACAGAAGCATTGGCTGGCAAACCCATTTGATTAATAATGTTGCGATTAAATGTCTCCAATTGAAGATGGTCATCCTTGCAACTGCCATTGTCGCTGATCAATGGTCTCTGCCCTTTTTGATTCAAAGCTTCACACCCCAGCCAAACATACAAAATTCGATGCTCATTTGTGCCCAAACTCACATCTGTAGTCAACAAAATATACACTGATCTTGAATCAAGGGTATGAGAGGAATGCATCTCCACTTTACTCAAAGAAGGCCAATCGTACAACACTGGGGTTGTTACTTCCGCAACCTCATTAATCATAGAAATAGATGGTAGATGAACATTACCATACTCTTTCTCGTTTTCAACCTCGCTATGTGAATCATTGCCCACACTAATGATGTCAACATCTAACATTAGCTCCTCTCTATTGCCTTCGTAATCAAATTGGTTGTCATCCATATCCTTCATCACATGAGGCTCCAAGTCAGGTAGAGAAAAGGACCATGACCTTACTAGGTTCTTGGGTACTAAAGATGGTTTGTCAGAAGATGGCAATAGGCGGGGTGGAGGATTACTCCCTCTACGCTCTGCAATTGATGGGTAAATCCCTTTACATGGCAAACAAGCACTTTCTGCTCTAAATTTATGATCGCCAGAAAATGACTTTAAAGGTGAAGGTGGAGTTTCTTCGCATGGTGAATATGAATTATCTGCCAAGGAAGCATATCTTCCATAAAGTGGATCTGTAGCTTCCAAGCCAGAAGGTGAAGGCTGCCGAGAAGACAAGTATGAAAAGTCAGACCAATTGCAAGATGAGGGTGAAAAGGTAAAGGAACTGGAGTAATCAGATGTTGAAGGTGAGAGGGTAGGAGACTTAGAGCCCAGATGTGGGCTGCTGCCCCGAGAACAGGAAAATGAATGTGGTGAACCACGAGAAGGTGTTGGAGGAAATAAATGACCAGAATGGGGAACAGAGCATTCCACTTCTTTATCCCTTATCCTATCAGGGATACCACTGGGGAAACAATCAAAGGAATCTGGTGAACCAGGTGGTGATGACAGTAATGAAAAATCAGTAAGAGAAACAGCATCTTCTGATTCTTTGCAAGTATCTATTATCATATTTGATCCATCACTTATTGAAGAAGTGGCACTTTTCAGTTTGGAAGATGCAAAAAATTCTTTCATACCACCATTAGCAAACTTACGTCTTAGTCTGCACCACCCATTCTCTCTAGCAGGGAGGCGAGTTTCAGATTCAGTAGTTGATACTGAAAATGGCGGAACAACCCCACCAGCCAGTGCTTTATGGAAAAGTTCAAAATCCAAATCATATTCATCAACCTTCATCTCACCAGCCCCAATATGCATTGTTGTAGTGACCTTATCATTCTCAGAATACGATACTTCATCTTGAACCTCCTTTTTACTGGAACCATCTGCTAAGAGTTGTCCCCTAGCAAGAGCATCCCAAAATTCCAAGGGCTCGTCCCCTTCTTGGATGCTCATAATTGGACCCTGAGCCCTTTCATATCGGATGACCTGATTGGCAGCTTCCCTTGCACTATATGACATAACCTGGTTGCATTTCTTTCCTATCCACACATATATAGCAGAAGGAACATGAACAATGAATGCCCCACGAGAGTCAAATCTTTGGGCAGTCGGGTGGTTTAACATTTTTGGTACAAGATGAAGAGGATCGTACGAAGAGTGAGGTGCCATCCGGTAAATCCTAAGCACGGAATTAGGGCTGGCAGGGACAGCATGCACCCGCTTCTGGCACTGCAAAAGTTGACAAGCAAAACCCATATTCGGATTAGTAACTCCTCTGGCAGCCTTCACGAACTGAAAAGCATCCTCAAAGCTCTGGCCTTCCCTCCACATGAGGTATGCAATAACCAGAGAAGTTGACCTTGATACTCCCTGGCAGCAGTGTACAAAGACCCGCCCACCTTGCTCTCGAACATCTTCAAAATAATCAAACACATCATAGAGAATGCTCGTGATATCCTCTGAAGGACTATCTTGCAACCAAAGTGTTTTATATACAAGATCATTCTTGAAATATTCAGGACAAACAAAGCCAACACAATTAAGCACATGAGTAATCCCATTCCGCCTCAAAATATCACGATTCTTGGCCACCGCATCGCTCCCCAGATATATATGATCAGCAATCCTCGAGCACTCCTTGTCAAAAAACGCAAGCTTATCCCTCTTAAATTGAAATTCCCTCACAGGCTGTTCCGAACTAGGACTCTCCAAGGGTTGTATTGACCCTCTTGGTGTTTGTGGATTAGGCCACACACCAAGATCATCAGAACCGGCCCTTGGCCACTCCTCAACAGGCCGCCTGGTTATGGATAGCGGGGGCAAAAAAGACCGTGCTTTACTGTTAGATTGTGGTTTTGGGTTGGGGTTAGGCTTGGTGGGCGACCGGTCACTCCAAGAAACGGACCGTAAATAAGCTCTTTTGGTGCCACCGGCTGGGCGGTCTTTACTACCCTCTTCTCCTAACATTTCAATTGAAGTTCACAAAATTCTACGAAATTAAACTCATACCCAATAAATGATTCTTCCAGGAAATACCATTGAACACATGAAAATTTAGTGTTGATAATAAAGAATATGAAGTGTCTACATGCACTTTTCTCACCTAAAGCCCTTGACCCACTCTCTCTCTTTCTAAGAAGAAAAATCAAATACGAATATATGACCCGGTAAAATCTGAAGCTGGAAAATCAGTATCATAGACCAACAAAAGAGACAAAAAGAAATTGCATACCAAAACAAAAAGTTAAAAGCTAATTTATGGTTGAGATTGTTGAAGGAAGACTTACTTTAACTGAACTCTAACGTGAAGAATGAATCAGTTTGTATAGCTAAAGCAGAGTGAGGGGTTTGGTTGGAATTGGATTTAGAGTGAAGGAAGAAGAAGAGGGAGAATGAGTCAAAGTGACACGTCATCATGATGGCTGTCAATGTGAGCATGTCAAGCTTGTGATGTCATTTAAATCAGTTGTCACTGCTGTTACTCTATCATATCCGTTTTTAATTGAAAGAAAATTGATTGCATTATGTGGGTTCATTGAGTTGGCTGGGGATATATTCAAGTCAAAATCAGACTGCCAAAACTTCATTCATTCTCCTGTTAACTTACTTAACACTCAATAAACAATTGGAATCGGGTAGTTCAAATTTGACCACCCAATAAAACAGATGAATGTGAAGAATGAAATGAAGAGACATTGAGGACAAATCTAATTGGAGTCTGAAAATAAAAACATAGAATTGAAGTTGGTGAAGCAGTGAAATTTATTTATATGGAGCACGGTCATTCTGTATTTAAGTCCAAGGCATATATTATAGTCAATAAAATTGGGCGGAAATCAATCAATCAATCCCTCTTTCAAATTGTTTAAAGTCTTTAGAAGAATATCCACGAAGCCGTCGTTAGTATGCTATGCTATGCTACTTTGGACCAATACCACTTCATCTTCTAAGAATTAAATGCCAACGTCTATTAATTCACTACATTTCTTTTGGCCATGCAAGTGCCCATTAGTTTGGGAGCGAAATAGTTTTTGGAAGTGAGAAATATTAATGACCTTTGATGCGGTGCATGAGTTTTTAACCTTATGAGTCTAAGTCTAAGTATTCGACCATTATACATGGTTAAAGACCTACTAGAGAGTGGAGCAAAAGTCACAACACAACAAAAGATTTGGAATGTTCGTCCTCCAAACTTTTAACTTATTATGAAACAAGGTTGCGTGTTGACTGTTCGAGTGACATTTTTTATATTTATTAAGCTTTAAGTAAATGATCGATTTGACATCGGATGTTCTTCTGAAAGAAATATTCATTGTTTAAAGCCCATTAGGTGTCACAGCCCATTTAGAGCGGACAAATTTGAATTTCTGGGCCTTCAAAGTGCAAATACATCTCCAGGACGCCACCTTCCTGCCTCGCTCTCACTCGCCAGTCTCGCTCTCTTTATTTAACTTGTAGGCAAACCGCACGCGGAAACCAAAAAGCCGTATCACCATTTCGGCATTACCTTTCTCTCATTTTCTATATAAATACACTTTCTTCATTTGTAGTTTCAGTCCTCTATCAATGGCTCTGATGCTGTAACTGTCAATGCATTGACTTCCCGTGCCACCATTTCCACTCATTATTATGCATTTCACCCTGATATGTTTCACAAACTGGGCGCCCAACGCCTGATATACCGTGCCCAAATCTCAAAGTTTGTGAAAGCTGGCCTCATCGATCAAGCTGTCCACGTGTTCGACGAAATGACTCAATCAAATTGTCGCGCTTTCAGCATTGATTACAATCGTTTCATCGGTGTTTTAGTTCGCCATTCCCGTTTTGAACTTGCCCAACATTATTACCAACAAATGGGCCCTCTAGGCTTCTCTTTAACACCCTTCACTTATTCTAGGTTTATTTCAGGTTTATGTAAAGTCAAGAATTTTGGTTTAATTCACATTCTTTTAAATAACATGGATAGGCTTGGTCTTGTGCCTGATATTTGGGCCTTTAACATTTATTTGAGTCTTTTGTTTTCTGAGAACCGGATTGAGTTAGCTTTGGAAGAGTTTGATAAAATAGTTAATAAAGGAAGGGAGCCTGATGTTGTTACATATACAATTATCGTTGATGGGTTGTGCAAAGCAAAGGAGTTTGATAGAGCTGTTCAAGCTTGGAAACAGATGATTGAAAAAGGGATAAAACCAGATTTAAAAGCTTGTACAGCGCTTGTTATTGGGTTGTGTGACGGTGGGAAAATTGATTTAGCTTATGAGTTAACAGTAGGTTCAATGAAGGGAAACGTTGAGTTTGGCTTGTTAATTTATAACACGTTGATTAGTGGCTTTTGTAGGGTTGGTAGGATTGATAAGGCTAGTGCAATAAAGAGGTTTATGACGAGAAATGGATGTGAGCTAGATTTGGTTACTTATAATGTGTTGTTGAATTATTACTGTGATGAGGTCATGGTGGGAGAGGCCGAGAAGCTGATGAAGAAGATGGAGAAGAGTGGGATAGAACCTGATGCATATAGTTACAATCAACTTCTTAAGGGCCTTTGTAAAGCTAGCAGACCAGATAAAGCTTATTTGTTAATGTTGAGTAAGATGGAGGCAAAAGGGTTATGTGATGTTGTATCATACAATACTATTATCAAAGCATTTTGCAAGGAAAGTCGTACTAGAAGAGCTTATAAACTGTTTGAGGAAATGAAACAGAAGGCGATTGCACCAGATGTAGTTACTTATACTATTCTAATAAAAGCGTTTCTTAGAGCAGGTAGTTCTGATTTAGCTAAGAAGCTTCTAGATCAGATGATGGGAATGGGTTTGTTGCCGGATCGTATATTTTACACTACAATTGTTGATTACCTATGCAAGAGTGGGAAAATTGAGATGGCTCATGGTGTTTTTCTGGACATGATAGAGCAGGGAATCACCCCTGATGTGGTTTCATACAATGCCCTCATTAATGGACTCTGCAAATCTTCTAGAGTAAGTGAAGCCATGCATCTCTACGAGGAAATGCAGACCAGAGGATCACATCCTGATGAAGTAACATTCAAATTGATTATTGGTGGGCTCATTCGAGAGAAGAAGCTTGAAATAGCTTGTAGTTTGTGGGATCAGATGATGGAGAAGGGTTTTACTCTTGATAATGCAGTTTCAGATACTCTAATCAAAGCTATCCATTCAGGAGATGTTGCACAACATTGAGAAATGGTAATTCACCCACTATACTCTGTCATGTGTTTGATGTTGATTTTATTTGGTGGTTAAAATTTTCTTCTTGAATGTTTTGCTCAACAGGCAGTTTTGAATTGCTTTATTTACCCCACTGGTAATGGGGCTATCCCGTTTCTACAGGCTGTAGCACCTCCAGTTATCCAATACCAATGCTAATAGCGGTGTTCTATTTCCACTATTATGAAATCCTCTCATTTCTATTAACATGTGCAAAATAATAATGGATTGGCTAGAAAGTTTATTGAATGATCTATTGGGCATAACTGTTGACATTGGTGCAATGATGTAGCATATTTTGCAGTGCTAGGAAGTCCAATATATTGTTCTTTTAAACTGAGATTTCAAGAAGCGTTGATGCCACCAGTAATATTTGTGGTTTTCAGCATTGCATTTTTTGATGCTTGTACTCTTTATACTTTCTTTAGGACAGCCAGGATTAATTTGTTGTTTCTGTTACTGTTTTATGCACTTATATAGCTGGTGATTTATCTACTATTTTTAAATATGCTGAGCCCTGACCCTCTGTTTTTAAGTAAAAGTCACTTAATTGGTGTCTTGATGCTGTACAAATGTTTCAATTCGCACATGTAATGGGGGATGATGGTTTAGAATTCATATTGGCGTTGACTGTTTGCGGTGCTAATATTTGAACAACTGAGCTGCCTAGATACTTCATGCCTCATTGTAATGTTATAATATAGGTTTCTGTATTTCAGGTTGAAGTTTATGGTGTTAATGTTATGTTCTCTGTCCTCTACTGCAAAGCTACTGATATTTTTGGTCTGCATTATCTTATGTTGCCGTGGCAGATTCTGAAAAGCGGGGCATTCAGGTTTGAGGTTCTAGATCTCTTATACTATAATGCTAGTATTTTATTGGTATCTAGGTGTTGGTAGATAAAAAAAAAGAAGAAGATATAATGGATGTCATGCGTACAAATATATGCCTTTTTAACTGTCTCATAGTTTTTTTTTTTTGGGGGGTGGGGGGGGGATTGCGCTGGTTCTATAAACCTTTTCAGTATTTGCTTTCTTATTTTAATTTTTTCCTTTCTAATTGCTAATAGAATTTGACATATTCTTTCATATGAACCCCTCCTCCATTTCTTTTCCCGCTTCAGCTTGAATCTGCATCTTATCTGGGCTTCTCCAGGACACACGACCTAATTTTTAAACAGAAGTGGAAGGGGATGCTTATGTTTGAAACCTTGAAATCCAGAAACAGAGGTATGCCTCTCCTTCTATTTCCTTTTTCCTCCGATGTCCAATGAATGTGTACTTGTGTTTTGGAATCATATATAGTATTCAAGGATGGCAGATTTTGAATACAGATGTCTATCATAGGCTAGCAGATTGAATGATCACAACCATCTGCAGCATTTTCAACTATTCTGGGCAGATTGAATGAATGGATCAAAGGTCTCATCAAATTGTTTGAAATTTGGTTAGCTGCCCTGTTTTAGCACTTTAATATGGAAGATGATACCAAACCCTGAGATTTGGGGATACAAGTAAAATATTTAGCGAAGGTGATGCGAGGAATCAGGAAATTGCTTTTGAGCTGGACTTAATTTCCAATTGCCTTAAGAGAATTTTAACAACAGTTGTCAGTCCACTCTGCAAAAATTGCCTGCTTGCTTGTTTCACATCATGGGTCTTTGTGTTTGTGTACTGATGCTGCTACTAGGACTCGTCTTTTGTCCTTTTAAATCCCCGGTTGACTAGAAACAATCAAACTGATTGTTAGTTAATATTATTGTGAGTTTAAATTGCTAGCTTCAAACTTCTTTTATTATGAGAAGTTTCGACGACAAATAAATAAATTAGTTATTATAAATATTTAAAATCGCCCTTTTATCCAAACCGTTTACAGTAACCTTTTTCCACCTATAGTATAATTTAACATGCTTCTGCTTATTTAGGGATTATATATAATTTTAGAATTTAACGTGTAATTAGTAAATGACTTATTATGGTAACGTAAATGGATAACAATTTGGCTATAGCTTAATTACAAAGCATCTAATAGGGTAATGAGGATTATTTGGAACCCCACTAGCAACTAGCAAGCAGTCGAAAAATGGGAATTAGCAACTGAAGATTACTTGCCTCCTTTACTCAGCTAACTTTGATTCTTTGCCTTTACATGAATCCTACTTGAAGTTGCGACGAAGTAATCGTCTTTTCCACTCCACCGCCACAACTCCTCTTTTCATCACCTTTGTGCTCCTCATAATCATCGTCCCTTACATTACATTTCATTTGGCAATTTATCACCATGAGTCACCACCATGAAATCAACCCTCACTTTTGCCCACAACATCATGAGCCACACCCACCATCAGGGATGACACCACCACAGAGTCAAGACCAAATTCATCCAACCTCCCCATGGATCTGGCCACCAACTCAACGACCAACAATCCCACCACCAAAGGTGGATCCTATGGGTCAATGGGGGGCATTGGTACCACATGGTAGTGCACCAAAGACACAATCAACCCGTTTACAGGCACAGGAACCTGCACCACGGTTTCCACCCCAATATACTGGTGCACAGGCTGCACAACCACCAAAGCATCAACGGCATGGGCGCCAACAAAGTCCACTGGAGCGACAAGTACACCAACGCCCGATTTTCCGTCTAGCACCTCGTCGAACCAAACTACACATGGTTTCTTGCAGGCTTTTGTGCATATCTTTTGGCTAATCATTATTCTAGGAGGCTTAATTGTCCTAATAGTCTATCTTGTGTTTCGCCCACATGGCCCAAGTTTTGAAGTGTCTAGTGTCACCTTAAATGCAGCATATCTAGACGTGGACGTTTTGCTCAATGCCGATCTCACTGTGCTCGCTAAGTTCATAAATCCTAACAAGAAAGTAAGGGTGGACTTCAATTACGTAGTCCTTGATCTTTACTATGGAAACACCCTGATTGCGTCTCAATATGTTGAACATTTCAGAGCAGAAAGGCGTCAGACAAAGCTTGCCAGTGTTCATATGGTAGCGAGTCAGGTTCAGCTTCCCTCGGATGAAACCGAACGGCTTAAGAGAGAAATAGAGAGAAATCATACTGAATTTCAAGTTAAGGGAGTGTTCCGGGCACAATCGAATTTGGAAAGTTTCGTGCGCTACTCGTATAGACTGTATAGACTTTGCACAATTGTGGTGACTAATCCTCCTGGTGGAGTCTTAAAAGCTGTCAAATGCAAATCTAAACGTTGAGAAGGATACTTTTTTGAAATTACCCATTCTTTACTTGTTTTACATTCGTACGAGTATGAATTCAGAATTAATTTATCAGTCTTTTGAGAGTAGATGTTCCGATGCACCATGTTTCATTCACAATCTTAAAAAAACAAACCTTTCTTCAGCTTCTATTCTCGTGTAAATTTTGCTTGTAGATGAGATGATGGGATTATTAATTGCTTTTGCAAGAATGGGAAAATTGGGATGGCTTGTCAATAAACACAATTGTGGAATAATATTATGATAATTTCATTGATTGTAATTTTACAATATACAGTATGAGCTTGGAACAAAAACATTTACAAGGAAAAAATAAAGGAATTAATTACAGAATATTACAAAAAATATCCTATAATTGTGAAAGAAATAATATCTTATAATTAAGAATATTGATCGTATCAATCTCTTAATTAAAAAATATTCTAACAATATTGACCATATTAATCTCTTAATTATGGAATATTCTAACACTCCCCCTCAAATTAGAGTATGAATATCGCACATGCCTAACTTGTTTAAAGCGTCATCAAACGCATTGTTGGCTACGATTTTGATAAGAATGTCGGCTAATTGATCTTTAGACTTCACAAAAAGAAATATAGTAGCTTCCAGTTTTTCCTTAATGAAGTGTCTACCAATTTTTACATGCTTTGTTTAATCGTGTTGAACTGGATTGTGGGCAATCTCTATAGCTGAAGTGTTATCACAATACAACTTCATTGCATCTACAGAGTCAATCCCCAAATCTTTTAACAAGTTCCTCAACCATAGTAGCTCACACATTCTTAAAGCCATGCCTTTGTACTGAGCTTCTGCACTTGACCTTGCTACTACCGGTTGCTTTTTACTCTTCCAAGTAACAAGGTTTCCCTCTACAAAAGTAAAGTATCCTGAAATAGATCTTCTTTTATCAGCTGAACCAGCACAATCTACACCAATGAAACCTTCTACCTTTAGATGATTGTGCTTAGTGAAAAGCTTTACCTAGAATAGACTTCAAATACCTCAATATACGTTCCACAACATCCATGTGAAGTTTACGAGGATCATGCATAAATTGGCTGGCTCACTACACATACTGAATAAATAATATCTGGTCTAGTGTGAGACAAATAAATCAATTTTCCTATAAGTCTATGGTATCTTGCCTTATCAGTAGAAGTTGTATCCAAACAATGAAACAACTTATGATTTTGTTCAATAGGAGTATTCGCAGGCTTACATCCAAGCATACCTGTTTCAGTTAACAAATCAAGAATGTATTTTCGTTGAGATAAAAAAAATACCATTTTTTGATCTGGCTACCTCAATCCTAAGAAAGTACTTCAGGTCACCAAGCTGTTTCATTTCAAATTCTGAGGACAAGTGTCATTGTAAGTTTTCGATTTCATCTTGATCATCACCTGTCACCACCATATCATCAATATAGATAATCAAAGCAGTAATTCTACCCTTTTGGTGCTTTAAAAACAAAGTGTGATTTGAGTTGCTTTGTTTATAGTCGAAGTTCTTCATAGACTTGGTGAATCTGTCGAACCAAGCTCTTGGAGATTGTTTTAAACCATACAATGCCTTCTTGAGTTTGCACACTTTTGTTACATTAGAGTACTTCTCCATAACCAGAGGAAGAACCATATACACTTCTTCTGTAAGATCTACATGCAAGAAAGCATTTTTTTACATCAAATTGAAGAAGTGGCCAATCCCGGTTAATTACAAATGATAGGAGCACTCTAACTATGTTAAGCTTGGCAACTGGTGCAAAAGTATCTTGACAGTCAATCCCATAAAACTGCGTATACGCTTTAACCAACCGAGTTTTGTACTTTTCAATGGTCACATCTACCTTATGCTTAACCGCAAATACCCATCTACACTCCACGGTCTTCTTTCTCTTCGGTAAAGGCACAAGTTCCCAATTAGCGTTTTTTACAAGTGCTACCATTTCTTCAGCCATGGTTTGGGTCCATCTAGCATCTGTCAAAGCTTCTTGCATTTTACTAGGAATAGAGATAGACGATAACTATAGCATATAAGACGCATATGACTTGGACAATTTTTCCGAATATACGTGATCACTTATAGGATTTTTAATGGTTGGTATACCATGGTTAGAACGAGCTAGAAGACAATATTGAGACAATTACGATTCAAAATTAACATCATCAACGATCGTAGAATAAGGATTAGTGGGTACCTTTGAATGAGTCTTAGGAGAAGATTGATCCAATGGTTGTATTGGATTGTTAGGAGACATTGTAATATCGTGGAGGAATCATCTTCGAAGCTTAGAGCCGTTTGTTCAACAACTGGGAACCTTTCCCCTTCATTAGGTCGATCGATGGTATCACTTCCAGTTGTCTGGAATAAATCAGAGACAGAGTCTTCATCCGTAAATTCCTTGATCACCCGGTTTTCTTCTTTTGGTTCTTTTGGTTGTTTGGGAAAGATCCGAAACAAATAATTATTTTCCATAGCATCTCTAGATGTTCTATTTCTTTCATCTAAATCTTTGAGAAAAAATCCATGTAGTTCTTCATGATTAATCACTTCATATTGATTCTCCCCCTGAAGCGGTAAATCAGTCATCGGTGTCTTATAGAAAAGTTCTTTCTCATGAAAAATAACTTCCATAGAAACATAAAATCTCTAAGAAGATGGATGATAACACTTGTAGCCCTTTTGACTAATCACATATCCCACAAAAAAACACACTTCACTGCATGAGACTCAAGCTTAGTCCATTGATGTGGATGCAAATGGACATAGACCACACATCCAAAAATTTGAGGAGCCAAAAGTACCACCTATGGAAGAGTGCAATGATCAGAGAAATCATCCAATGGTCTTCTAAAATTGAGAACACTAGATGGTGTACGGTTTATTAAGTAGAACGTTGAATTCAAGGCGTCACCCCACAAGTGAGAGGGCATGACCTCCAATTAAGAGAGATCGAGTAACTTCTAATAACTATCTGTTTTTCCACTCTACAACACCATTTTGTTTAGGAGAATAAGGACATGTTGTTTGGACAATAATCCCTACTGAGTGCATGAATTCTGTCAATTATTGCTTGAAGTATTCTCCCCCATTATCAAAATGAAGGACTTTTATTGGAATACCAAACTGAGGAGTTACCATTTGATGAAACAAGCGAAAAACCGAGTAAGCATCACTCTTATGCTTCAATTGATAAACCCAAGTCATTCGAGTGCAATCATCAACAAAAATTACAAACCACCTTATCCCATTAAGAGTAGAAATTGGTGCTAGTCCCTAAACATCCGAATGAATTAATGAAAAAGGCAGATTTGCTTTATTATCACTTAAATGGAAAATAGTACGATGACTTTTTGTCATTACACAAGTTTCACAACTAAAATCCGAAAAATGACATCCACTAAAAAAAGAGGGAAATAATCTCCTAAGATAGCTTAAACAGGGATGTCCTAGTCTCTTATGCCGCAACCAAATTTCCTTCTTTTTCTTATTCATCAAATCTTCCTTTAGCAAGTGAGTTTGTCCTTCTTTGTTACATTTTGTCTACAACTGCCAATTTTCTCCTTGGTATGGATGTCCTAAAAAACACAATGAGTAGGAAAAAATAGAGCAATACAATTATGAGATTTGGTTAATTGATTAACAGAGAGAATATTACAATTGAATGATGGCACAAATAAGACATCTTTGATAGCGAAGGTGGGGGATAACGGGATTGTACCAACTCCAATAACTGAAGATGATACGCCATTAGCATTGGTAATGATAGTTTTGGAATATAACGATCACAAGTCATATGGTTCGTTGGACTAGAGTCAATTATCCAATCACTATTTCCAATAAAAGACATACCTAACTTAGCAGTAAATCCAGGAATTGTGGTTAGATTCCCCTTCAGATTAATGTCTTCCTCATTAGCACTAGAAGATATCTGAGACGCTTTCTTGCCCTTTGGATGCCAATCCGGATATCCATGGATTCAAAAGCATGTATCCACCGTATGACAAGTACCATTACAGTGAGTAAACTTTCAATCCTTGTTTGAGGTAGGCATTTTTCGAGAGGCCATTACAACCCCTTCTCCAATTTTCCCTCCAAGCATAGCATCTTGGTGATTAGCTTCCCCAGAAACCATAGCATAATACAGCTTGTAAATCTGGAAGTGGTTTGGTAGCAAGCACGTGACCTCAAACTCCATGTAATTGAGGGCCAAGACCAGCCAAAAACATATACACATGTTGGGAATTAAGCTTAGTGGTATATTTCACAATATCATTTGTACACTCCATAGTATAGTCATCAATATTATCAAGTTTTTGTCATATTTTTTGTAGTTTGCCAAAATAAGAAATAACAGAACCTTCATTTTGGCAAATAGAAATTACCTCGCAGTATAGTTGATAGACTTTTGATGCATCCTGGTCAACCGAATATGTCCGTTTGGCAACCTCCCGTATTCCCTTCGCCGTAGCTAATGGAAGGAAGAGAGATGTGATGTCCTTTGTTATTGAGTCAAGGAGCCAAGATTTGACCAAGTAGTTTTCATCTTCCCATGCTTCATATTCCTTCGAACGAACATCTTTTGGTGCAGCCTTATTACCCAAAATAAAACACCAACGTTTCCTCCCACGAATCTTATTTTGAGTGTTGAAAGACCACTCTACATAATTGGTACTAGCAAGTCGTTCCGGAGTGATTAGAGAAGGAATTTCTTGCATATGGAATCCAGCCAATATAGTAGTAGATTTATTCTTCTTTAGAGAATTATTACTACTTTCTTCTAAATCACCCATAACAGTAAAGATTTAAAAAAAGAAAAAGAAAAAACTTCACAGCAGAATGATATGAAAAGAAACAACAATTGTGAACATAGGACCGAGCTTCAATTCCTAGGTTAAAGAAGAGGAGATTGAAGAAGGCTCTGATACCATGTCAATAAACACAATTGTGGAATAATTTTCTGATAATTTCATTCA